GCGTGCGCAACGTGACGCTGGCGAACTGCACGTTTTTGGACGGAGCGAGCCTGTACGTTGTTGGGTGGCTGTCCGACCCGCCTGCTGGCGAGCGCGCCGATGTGTTGATCAGCGGGCTTGAGTCGTGTTCCGGCGGCGGCGTGGTGGTGGCGAACCGATTTCCGCCGGGCTCGTGCGTCACTGTGGTGGACTCGGTGCTGATTGCGGAGGCGCGTGTTGCGTACCACGGCGCCTGCGACCTTGGCGACGCGTCTGCGTGCCTCGTGTTGCACAAGGTGAATCTGACGGGGAGCGTGCTGACCATTGCGCGCACGCATGTGGCGGCGGTGTTCCGCGACGCTGTTGGCGTGTTGGTGGTTGGCGGTGTGGCGCTGTCGTCGCACGGTGCGCTGTACGTGGACGGGCTGTTGGTGCAGACGACGCTGGGGCTGTGCGTGTCGGTGGAGGACGGTGTTGCGGTCAGCGGCGGCTCCGTGGTGGCGTTTGTTGACAGCGACCTCTTGCTGTGCAAGCATGCGGTGTCTGTGCGTGGGGCTGTGAGCGTGTCGGGCTCCGCTATGGCGCTTGTGCGGAGCGAATTTGTGTTGACGGAGGACTACGCGGTGGCGTTTGATTCGACTGTGAGCCTGGATGGCGGGTCGATGCTGCTGGCGAAGGGCAACGTGCACGACGGCGTCTCGAGGGAGATGCTCTACGCCGCTGGCGCCGTGACCGCTGCTGGGAGCACGCTGAGCTTTGTGCGCAACCGAGCGCTGCTGCCGCGGATGCTGTCGCTGAGCCTGTCGCTTGCGGCTGGGGCACATTTGAGGGTGGCATGCAACGACGCTGGTGGGCGTGTCCTGTCGACGGCGGAGGAGTACGCAGCGGCTGGTTTTGGCTACGCTGGGAGCATCGACGTTGCTGGGTGCGACGCCTGCGACAGGGACATGTACTGCTACGCGCCCGGGACGGCGTCTGCGAGCATGACGGACGGTGTGTGCGTGTGCGCGTGCGGCAGCGGCGGGCACGGCGAGGCGTGCGTGCCTGTGGGTGCTCCCGCACTGCCGCCCGCTGCGGGCACCGCGTCGAGTGCGTTCGTCCGCGAGGGCGTGACGGTGCGGTCGGTGTTCGTTGTGCCTGCCGGCGCGAGCGAGGTGACGGTGCGCCACGTTGTGCTGGACGGCGTGAGTCCGGTGCTCTACGTGCCGTGGATGGCGCGGGACGGCGTGCGGATCGTTGTGCAGAACGTGTCGCTGCTGAACGGCGCCGTGCTGTACGTGATGGGCGGTGGAGCGTTGCGCGGTGCGGGTGCGGCGGGGAGCGACGAGAGCGGGCCGGTGGAGCTGTCCGTGTGCGATGTGGAGGCGCTGAACGGTGCGCTTGTGCTGACCGGCACGTTTCCCGCGGGGTCTGTGCTGACGGTGACGGACTCCCTGCTGGTTGCCGCGAGGCCGACGCCGCTTGTGTATCTTCCCGACTCGCGGTCCTCGCCGTACGCACCGGTGCTTGTGCTGTCGGGCCTGCGGCTTGTGCGGTCCGTGCTGGTTGTGTCCGGCGTTGCCCTCGTGACCGTGATGACTGGTGGGCGGACGGTGGTGGTGGACGGCGCGGTGCTGGAGCTTGTCGGTGGCGGTGTCGCGCTGGACGCGGCTTTGCTCGGTGGCGAATATGCGTTGTACGCGAGTGCGCGCGTGGTTGCGTCTGGGGGCGCTGTGCTGCGCGTGTCGGGGAGCCAGGTGTACGCCGCGCATGGGCTGGTGTTTGGCAGCGGGGTGGAGGCCAACGCGTCCGCCGTCGTGGTGAACGACAACGCCGGTGTGCTGACCGATGGCGCGCTGCTGGTGCTGCGGGGGTCGGCGTTGTTTGCGTCCGGGTCGTGGCTGTCGGTGCGCGGCAACAGCATCAGCGGCAGGCTTCTGTCGGTGCCGTCGTACCCGCGCAGTGCGGACTTTGTGCAGAGCACGCTGACGCTCCACGGGAACGCCGGCAGTGGACCCGTCGTGATGGACGGCACCGTTGCGCTCGTGGACGCCGGCCGAAGATTCGTCGTGGGGTGCCTGACGCTGAACGGGCAAGTACTGCAGCCGATGGGCTACAGGTCCGCCGGCATAATCGGGGAATTCCGCCCCGTGGCGTGTGGCGTGTGCGACGCCGACGTGCGCTGCTTTGCTGCTGCGACGAGGGCGATGTCGGGGTCGTGCGGCTGCCGCTGTGCTGAGGGCGGGTACGGGCGCGACTGCCTGCCGGTGTATCTGCCGCACGTGGACGGGTGCAACCGCACGCCTGGCATGCCGCTGCTGAGCCACACGGCGACGCTGACGGAGACGCGCAGTCTGACGCCGACGTGGACGCCGAGCCTGAGCGCGGCGCACTACAGTCCGACGCACTACAGGCCGACGGAGACCCAGCGGGTGACGGAGACGGTGGTACTGCCGCCCACGCGGACCCCGACGGCGTCGGTGAGCAGCACTTTGTGGTGGAGCGAGGTGGCGTGCCCGACGCTCGCCGTGACGACGACGGCGGCTGGTGGGAGCCTGACGCAGAACGACATCCGCGGCGGTGGGAGCGCCGTCCCGACACGGCTGATGGTGGCGTTGCCGCCGCCGTTTCGGTGGGCACGCGATCCGCAGCTCGGCACGCACCTGAGCTTCGTGCCGGTGTCGACGGTGCAGCCGAGCGGGTTTGGTGGTCCGTGGGGAGCGATGCTGAGCAACGCGACGTGGGTGCGCAACGCGACGAATCCGTCCACCGTCCTGGAGCTGGCTGTGCCCGTGCACCGCGGTTACTTCATTGCTGCCGACGAGACGATAGTCATTCGCTGCGACGCTGCGGCGGTGTCCGGCGGCTGCAAGGGTGTGCTGCTTGGGTTCTTCACGATCAGGTCCAACACGCTGCCCGCCGCTGCCAGCGCCCTCTCGGCGATCACCGGCGTTGTTGCGGGTGCGGCGGCTGTTGCCGTGTTGGTGACCGGCGGGCTGGGCTCCATCCTGGAGATGCAGGCGCTCGGCGTGTTTGCGAGGATGCCATGCGCCTCGGCGCAGGAGCGTGCGAGCACCGTTGCGCTGCCGTACTTCCTTTCGGTGTTCGCTGCCCTTGACCCGCTGTGGATGGTGGTGGGCAACGCGCTGCTGGCCGCTGTGTTCGGGTGCGTGCACTACGGTGTGACGGCCGCCTTCCAGCGGTGGCGCGGCGTTGACGCGGCGAGTGCGTGGGCTGCGACGCGCTTCCCGAGCCTGACGTACGTCGTGGCGCACGCGATGCACCTCGGCATCGTTTTCGGCTCCGTGCTTGCACTGGCGATGCCCGGCGCCCGCGTGCAGCACCGCGTGGTTGGAGTCGTTGGCGTGCTGTACGGTGCGGCGTTCCCTGCTGGCGTGTGCTACTTGATTGCTCGCCACGTGGGCGCGAGCTTCACGAAGTACTGGCAGTTTTCGAGGAAGCCGCTGCACGAGCGCCTGCTGTACCCCGTCGGGTATTGGTACCCCGCGGCGCAGCAGCGGATGTACGGCGGCATGCTGACGAACATGAGGGGCAGTTACGTGTACTGGTGCGTGTTCCAGCTGTCGGTGCTGTGCGTGGTGGGCCTGATTGCTGCTGTGCACCCGCCCGTGGGAGGCTGCCACGTCCAGTACTTCTGCATGGCGGCTGTGCTGCTTGCGGGTGCGAGCGTGGTTGCCTTCACGAACATGATGCGCTCTGCCTTCCTGACGGTGATGCGCGCGGCGAGCTTTGCACTCCTTGCGGCGCTGTGCCTGGTGAGCGCGGCTAACCATCTTGCGCCGAGCGACGGCGGTGCGAGGGCGTACGTGGCGATCGTGCTGCTGCTGACCACTGTGGTGCTTGCGGTCGCTGTGTACAGCGTCGTTGTGTGGTACGCGGAGAACCGCCACTGGCAGGAGCTGCGCGAGCCGCGGCGTGGCGGGCTGGAGGCGCTGCTGCGCGATGACGAGGAGAGCGACGAGGAGACGCGGAAGCCCCACTACATGACGTCATCGTCGTACGCCTCAGGCACCACCGTTGCGTCGTCGTACCGACCACCCGCACCGACGTTGCAGCCCATGGCTGGTGACACCCGCTCAGACGTACTGAGCCTGTTCGACCGTGCATCCAGTGCGAGCCACAAAATTGATTACGCCCTTCTGTGACGTGCAACACTTAGAATTGGCAGACGTGCGGTGGTGGTTGATGGGAGGGGGCGCGAGGCCACGGCTGCCGCACACCACGGCCACTCGTCGCTCACAGTACCGACAGTATTGTTGATTGTTGTTTTTGCGACACGATTCTTTTTTGCGCGGGTGCTTTCAAGGGTTTCTCCCGTTCTGCGATGACTGTGTGGAAGGAGATTCGCTTGTCCCCCTTGTCATTCCTGATGTCGTGTTGTATAGGACTGTATTTTCATGGAGTTGTGTGCGAGGAGCTTAACGCTTATTTCATGCAATGGAAGAGGGATCCAACGAGCCGCCTACTTTTAGTGGTGAATTGCAGCTTTGCCTTACCGTGGATTTACAGACAGGGAGCAATACAGTTTGCAGGAGCAAAGCGGTGGCGGAGCAGTAGCAGGGACCCGTGCTTCCGGGAACGCCTTTGAGCGGGTTGTGTATTGAGGTGCGACCCCTTTCCCTGATTTAGGCCTGCCCTGCTGTGTCGAGTGCACAGGGTGATCGATGTCTCTTTATCGGTGGAGGTGACGGGCAGAGTCATCGCAGTCACGTTCCACACTTATCCTTTAGCGCAACACCGCCATCTCTGGATTCCTCAGGTGTGTGCGTGGAACGTGGGGAACTTGGATGACGCGGCGTTGGGATTTGTTGCCCGTGACGGCCCGCACGTTTTTTGTGTGCAGGAGGTGTGACGGCCGCTTCCGGCAATTTGCACGTTCCTTCACGGCGCGGCCTTTGATTTACTTGGCAAACCCCATTTCACAGGCAAGGAAAAGTGCTGCATATTGGCCATGCTGGTACGAGGGATGCCTACACGAGCACGTTGGTCATTTTAAGAACTTCCATCCGGCCGTGCGGAATTCATGCACCAAAGCAGACACAGAGCGGTTCGCTGTTGGCACAGAGAGTACGATATACACCGAGACTTCCACGGCGGCGAGCGTGTATGCACCTTTTTGCTGAACCGTGGAAGCACGCGAGCACATGTCGACGGTTCTGGATCACCTGGTGACTCGCATTGTGGACGTGCCCGAGAACGGAGCTTGTGATGCATAAGCCAAGAAGGCATTCGACCACAAACAGCTCACAGACACATGGAGCACCGGCATGGTCGCATTGGACGAGAGTATTATTTGGGCCCAACGACACAAGCCCGAACCTCGCCGCACCACCGTAACAGGCGACTGGGAAGCCACGCACACGGACTCCACCCTCACTAATGGGAGGAGGCCGTACTGGCCCGCTTCTGCACCGGGGCTTCGCACAAATACAGATGGCTGCTGCGGCCACTGCAACTCGCCATCCCGAGCACAT